AACGCGCAAATCAGCGGCAAAAAGGTCCCATTTCTCAGGTTCTAGGCCTTTTTCTTGGTCTTTTCTTCATCCCTGCGTCACTGACTACCTCTACCTTAATTTTTAGTAGGCTTTTGCATTTCCGTCGAAAACTCCGCCTTCGAACCCGTGCTTGGAATGTGCCTCCCAGAACTACATTTTTGGGCCCTTTCTCCACGGTTGATCTGATTTTCAGCAAAAAAAAAACAGTAGAAATGAAGGGGAATGGATAACTTATTTGGAAACTCACCTGGTGGCAACTTCATATTGCCTCGAGAAACTGTCAGCATAAAAGGAACTTTTGCTCGTTTCAAAACTGAAATGTAGAGGCGAATTTCATGAAGGCAAAGGCGCAGCAAGAATAGGTCTTTATCAGAGGAAGGGGAGGGTTCTGATCTTCTGATTAAATCTCAGAAGAGAGTACTAAGATGAGGGTAATGTTGGAGCTAGAGTGACATGAAATTGCAAAGCCAAGTTGCGGCGTGTTGTGACCTTCGAGTTTAGTTGGATTTTTAGTGGGAAGGGATGAATCCGAAGAACCCGTTGACAATATTTACCTCGAAAATATAAGAAAAATATACTGAAACCCCAATTGCCAGGTCATGCCACGTACCGCAATCTCTGTCCTATTGTGGATATGATTGCTAGCTGACGTATTTTCTAGACTATACCCTAAAGTCCAAAAAAGGCTATTTTCTCTTCAGCTTGTATGCTGTGTCTGGCGATTACGTCATACTGATAACTGTCAGATGAACTGACAGGATTACTCTGCACATCGATGCCTAGGCTCGATAGCTACAATAAAGGATTAGTCGCATCTGGCCAGGGGGCGGGCTATGCTATAAATACTGTCACCGGACAAGGAAGAGAGTAGATCTTGCCATCGACATCCGCTGTCTGCTACACTTCCTGTTTTGGAAACGACTAATGTAAGTCCTGGTATGTTTTTAAAAAGATAACTGCTATGTTTCGATCCATCTATGTTTACGATTTCAGGTGAGGATTTAAAGCCAGACTTCGTTTTGTCTGCGATTGGCGACGATTCAGTCCATTCTGGAAATTTCTAAGGATGTCCATTCCTACGGATGCTGAGGTATTTGCCAACACTGCCAAGAAAGGGTGATTGTTAATTTTGCTCCCTGTTTTGCTTTTTTTTCAGGTCCGAATCCATCCCCCGGGTGGTGGACGCCCCAGCTGCCCAAATTGTGAGCAGGGGCAGAATGGAATGAATCTTTGTCCCTACGTTTGCATATCATCATGTCAAATTGTGTCTCCCTGGCCGATGAAAGGGAAGACTTACTCGACCGAGGACCACCCACGATTGCTCGGCTGTGAGAGGGTTGAGGCTGCTTTATGCAGTGACGTGGATGAAACGGCGGTGACTAGGAAAATTAAACTTGTTTTAAATTGTTCTTTGTATCGAAATACATCTTCTCGAATTGCCTCAAACCAGTCTGTTTAGCTGGCGCCGTGGAGCACAATTCGCGCTTCCGATTCGAGTCAAGTTAGGGGATGGCCCCGAAGTGGATTCACTGGTGGCTCCAGCCAACGGCCAGGGGACTCAACTTGGGTTTGACTCCATTGGGAAGTTTTCTTTCATTCCGTGCCGCTATTGGTCTTTCTAATACTGCAATAAATTTTGTTGAAACATTGTTTTTTTTAATGTGTACATGGTTGGAGCCTATATCGATCGATTGTTTTTTTTTGAAAAGTAATTCTTAATTTTAAATTTTTTTAAGTGGTTGAAAGAAAAAGAAAATGTCGGATAACAAGCGTTCTGAGCAGGCTATGGTGAAACTACTTTCGGTAGGTTGCGCATTTGAAGGGTTTCTTTATGTTTGAACGTTGCAAATTCCCTTTCTTTTCAGCCTGCGACTTGCCCTTGTTGCCCCTTGGTGGACTACCAAGTCGAGCATCTCATGGAGAAGTTTCGAGAGTACCTTTTACTGGAGTCAGCTCTTGAACAAGGCTAATAAAGAGGAAAAGGAAAAGCAGGAAATGGAGTTGCGATATCTTAATGATGTGGCTGACCAAATGGAGATAGCCACTGTCAAGCTGCAAGAGGTAATTAGTGATAAACTTTGACTGAGCCTTGCTTATGATTGCTTTGTGTAGGAGACTGCGCGGCTAGATGCAGAGTACGAGCGTCTCTGTAGCCAGTCTGGACAGGAAATCCGAGGATTGGCGCCTGACCAGAGAACAGAGGACCAAGGTTCTGATGGAGGACCTGAACCATTCGCGGAGAATGCTCCCTAAGGGCTACTGGAGGACCTCACCACTTGTTCTATTTTTCACTTTGTTGTTGACCAATAAAAAATGATTTAATTCTTTTTGTTGTTGTCACTGTCTTCATGGCGTAAATTGTGGACTTCCTATAAATAAAATCATTAGATCTTTGCGAAGGAAAATTCATCGGGATGTTCGCTAGGCTGTTAGTATGGATAGGGTGGAAATCGGAATAATTAAGAAAGAAAAACCATTATAAACAAAATAATTAATACGGTTCGTTTCGCTCCTTCCTCAGACGAACCTTATTATTTCGTCAATCCCCGGAGCTCGTATTTGGCTTGTGTCCCGGAAGGGAAAGAAAAAAATAGGAAAAAATAATGCTTAAGAGTCAACAACTTATTCGAAAATTCAGCTGAATCCGGGGTATGGGTCTTGATTGTTGAAGTGAAGAAAAAATTCTAGAAAGTACGAATTTATCAGTAGAAAGCCTTTCTGGGTTAGAGAGCTACTTAAAGCCTTTGGGATGGAGCCACGGTTACGTAAAAGTGTTCAATAGAGAAGAAGTTTCCTTACTCAGCTTTGAGCCATGTCCAGAAGCTTTCGAAAATTGCAGAAAGTCGATGCGAAAGGTTCTATTGCCTTAAACCTGGCCAAGTGGTTATGTGGAAGATTGCTGCAAATAATCATCTCAAGAATGTTGGATAAGTTCTTAACTGAACATCGCGAAGGTTGTGCCACAGACCTAATTTCAACGACAATCGCCGAGGTGATGGTAAGCTCACGTATTGCTGAATACATATTTTTCAAATGTCCCTGCTGGGAGAATGTGGTTGTTGCGATGGGTTTCTGGTGCTAACTTAGTTGGGGGGGGGACCACGCGGCGGCGCGGCAGTTTGCTCACCTGGGCTCTCTCGAGCGAGACAGTGTAAACTCGAACATTCCAGCTTTTCACGCATGTCAAGTGACTGCCCTCACCCCCCACCCCCCTAGACTGCCTACACTCCCCCTGGCTCCACGGATTTCCGAACATGCCAGGCGAGCAGACTGCCGCGCCGCCGCGTGCCCCCCCCCCAACTAAGTTAGCACCGTTCTTTCACTAAGTGGAATTGTTGCATTTCTTAGTAAGAAAATTCCTATTTTCGCGATTTGTGATTATGTGATTGTAAAATATTTTTGTCATCCTCGTAACACTCGATTTTGTACTTGTTAATGAACTTGTTTATTGGGTCGCGCTAACCGAAAAAGAAAAGTTTCCAAATTTCTGACTGCTACTGAAAGGCTGTAGAAAGAAACGAAATGCGGGGTTGGGTAGGGAGAGAGAGGAGTGGTAGAGAATGTTTCGTAAAGAACTCCAATGAATATATTACCAGAAATTATTTTAATATTATTATTGGCAGAAAAAAACTGAGCAGAATCCGAACTTGTAACAATTATAAAAGGGAATAATATGTAGTAGTACTCCAACAATAACGTTTATTTTAAGGCGAACCAACTTCTTCAATTGTGGCGTTTGAAAGAAAAGAAGGTGGGCAACTTAAAGGAGGAGTTTACGATGAATAGACAGCCCACTAGATTATCAGGTATTGTGGTCAGCGATGCAGGATGAAGAAGCAGACAAAGGTGAAATTCGAGAATGCGACCCTTTTGTCCGTTGATTCGCAACGTTTAGGCATTCTTCGTTCAGATCTCCGCTCTTGCTGTCTTTTCCACTATGTAAACTCTCTTTCTGTTCGTCCGTTTGAACCTATGTGGAGATCCTCCTTCACTTGGTATCGAGATAAGCCGCGATAGGACCGCCCTGGATATCTTTGTCTCATTAACACATGCGTACCGCGTGCGGCCATCAGTGTGGTGCATGGCCTTCCTGTCTTGTGTGGCCGCGTGCGCCACATGGTGACGCACGTAGTTTTGCCCACAATAGTTGTCTTTTCTTATTCCTTGATTTTTCAGATACATGTTTTCTCACTAGGAGAACAACATATCTCCCGCTAATTAGTTTATATTAGTGAATGATGTTCTCGAGAGGGACTAGTTTGCTAATTGAATCGCTTGAATAAAAGCACTTTTTTATTCATATCTTTCACAGCAGTTCACGCAGTCACCGCAATCTAGTCGTAATACACCCGCGTAACAAGAATGTGTTTCAACCAAAATCTCAATGACACCCTGCTAAAGTTCGCTCTACCACGGTATGAACTCGATAATAAATGTACGGCAAGTATCGGTGTAAGTATCCATACCCTCAGGAGATCTTGAGCGAGAGTGGAATGCAAAATATTCTGCGAGCTTTATTTAAAGGCAAAAGTCGGGCTCAATAAGGGGGTATTATGGCGATTGAAACTGAGTATAGAGATGCGAAGTGGAACGACAGTGGAGAAAAAACTGAGAAAAACCGTCGACAAGGCCGTTAACAAAACCCTCTTTCCCACTAGCAGTGAAGGAGGCTGGCTTGGGGAAAGAGGCACGTACAAACAAGTTTTCTGGAGATGTCAGTCGTTCTATCGGTTGATACGGCAATCAACCTAGCTGATTTCACACGTTATGCCAGCCACGCACCACTTCCGGAGGTGGGCGGTCCTGGATTGACCAGGCGGCCCTGGATTGAAACCGAACGCCCCGGGGCCTTAACGGGGTTTTTCAAGGTGGGAAGTTGCTGCAATGTGTGCAGCTACCCACATACAACCTCCAGGCACGGGAATTACTTCTCTAGCGTGCCTGAGCCCGACCTTTGCCTTTAATCGTCATCTGCTGTTCAATAAACATGATACAGCAGATTGTGGGTAATCGAACTGTCTAGCTCGCCATCGCTGTCTTATAAGACATGAGAAGTTGGACAAAGCAGATTTTTGGATCCTTCACAATCGTTGTTGTGTAATCATTTGTAAACTCTTAAAACTTACATATACAAGCCAAATAAGCAAGCGAAATATGACGCAGTTTCCATGAAATTGTGGTTTAACGCCATATACTCAAGGATAGAAAGTGAAAAAGTACCTATGAGAATAAAAATTCGAGGAAATTTTCCGCCCGCCGTGTGCCGTGGTAACGCCACCAATGTGCGCACGTTCACAAGCACATACGCGGATCCATAGCCAGCTCACGCACCGCAAATTCAGTCGCGCACATGTGTTAAATATCCATACCTCGGATAAAATGAGGTGTATAAGTTAAGCGGCTTCGTGATTGATGGTGAGCTGGGCGGAATGAACTGTAAGTGACAAGGAAGCAAAAAAATTACGCTCCCAAGGAAACGCTAAATTAAAGGAATCTTGCGCGGAAAAATCATGATTCTATTTCAGCCATAAATCACTGGCTTGAGACTCATTATCCACGATAATAGTGAAAAGAACTGAAGTATTGCTTTCGTTTTGATTAGAAATTCGAAAACTCGAAAAGGCTGCTACGCGTTCGAATTGCCCACGGACGTCTTTCACGAATGCTGGCGACGGGGATGCTCAAAACTTGGTTCTTGGAGTGCATTCACTAGAAGCTCTTTCTGGCCTTCTGCTTCGTTGCATTCACATCTTACACTTCTACTCCATCCTATTCCATCGATCGATTTGTCTCCACTCTCCGAAATCGCGCGCTTTAACCCGATTCTCTCATTGCGTCGCCTGGTACGTAGCCGGCCAAACGCCGTCTTCTTTCCATGCCTCGCCTGGCTCTGCCTCCTGGTCCTTCGATGGTCCATAACGTGTAGTTTTTGTACGTTTGTTTCTCTTCAGAAACCGAATCTTCATGCGTGAAACTTTGTGTGCTATTTCCAGTGATCACAACTGACATATTCATGTTAGGAAAGAGTGCAAGAATTTTCCGCGCAAGATTCCTTTAAGGGCAGATGTGGTGAGAAGGTCTGTATACTTACGGGCGAATCAAAGAAGGCAAGAAATTGCGCTGAAGCATGCCCGAAGATGGGTCGCTGATCTGTACCTCAGCCCGCTTATTGTGGAGCGCTGCAGTGGGGCTTCAAATGTTAATGGCCGGCTAAGGTTTAGGTACGGACATACCTAGTTTCCCTTGCAGTATACTTTCTTTCTAGTGGGCTGATCCCTGAAGCTTTTTACCCCCTTATTAAGGTGGCCACGTAAATGGGACTGCGCGGCGCAAGCGCTGCCGTTCGGTGATCTTAACGAACGGATTTAGGCCTTGGTTTTGGCAATGGTTGTGGGGGTGTGGGGCAATTCTTGAAGTATATTGAATTCGCGAAGGAGGCCAGCGTAAGACAGGCTACTTAAAATTCAGAGAACTTTGTGATTTTTTTTGAATCTTTCGCGAAATCCCATGAAATTTTGGATAATTTTACGAAAATTCCGGGTTTTTTTTTCGTAAGAAACTATAGGATCGTGGCGAAATTTTGGCATTGTATGTGGTATTGTGAGATAGGAAAGGATCAAGAGAGAACATTTGAAATTTGTATCTAGTAAGTTGGCAGAGTCATGTGAATCGGTTTTTCAATACGATGTAAGGCCAGGACATGGAAGTGATAAGTTGAACTACTGGTACATTAAATAGTCAACCATTTGGTCGGCGTAACTTAAACAATGGTCATTGTTTTTGGTTTTCTAGTTGTAATAGCTCTAGTAGTGCAAGTTAGGGAGGGGATCGAGTGTGTAGTGGTCTTTGCGGTTTTCTGTACTCCCCTTCTCCTTCCTCCTTGGATCAGAGTTGAATGCTATAGAAAGCATTCGTGAAGTGGTAGAAGGGACGGTGGGGGACCTTCTCCAAACGTGATGGCTGAGGGCGGAATTCGGTTAAACGTGACGGTCTGTTGTTTTGAATTGTTGCTCCATGTATTACGTCTACCAGACCTCCCCACTCCCGACCCCCTCCCCCCGCTCTAGCATTGCTGATATCGGTATGGTTGACGGACTACTTGAACCCGGTCCTTTAAGCCGCCTCAGATCGGTCTCCGGACATCTGTCAACCGTGAGGCTAGGCAATTCAGCGTTTTGTTGTGCTGTCTGGGAGCTCTCACAAGCGCACTATTACAGAATCTCCGCTTTCTTTACCTCCTTCAAAAGGCTTAG